GATGATTTTTCACTTAAATCCAATAGACAGTAAAACCTCCATAATACTCCAGAACTCTCCCCAGCATTTATTATTATCATGTGATACAACTGCAAATTAATAATATCAAGTAACATACAATAGTATAGAAAAAAAAAATCACAAAGCTTTTACAGAAGGTTTCCAGTCATATTCTTAAAAGGATGGTTGCATGTAATATTTCACCTGGAAACATCCCACTTATTCAGAAATTCATTTTTATTATAAATTCAACTTTTATTTCTAAATTCAGTTTCTCTTCCATTCATAAGTTGATAAACTTTATCATTATATTTTCTTAATTTAACATTTTACTATGTTGCATCATGAGACAACAGCAATCATGATCCTTCTGAATCATTGGTAGCAAGATCAATCTTAACATCAGCTTACACCAGATTTTCCTTCATTCAAAAAATATTCTAAAATCATTCTCATATTTATTGTTATTTATGCACTTTGTAACAAAATACTTCAAGCCATTAAAAGGATTTTCTTAAAAATACTATTTAAAAAGAAAATAAGTCTTTAACTTTTTATTGATTTACATTTAATATTTTTTCAGTTGTAGAAACTTAAGTGATGGATTCCACAAAGAAGAAAGGCTTGCATGCTGCAAAGAACCACTCTTAGGATAAAAGCAGGAACTTCATAGAAAATGGTTTCTTTTGGGAAGAATAAATGGTTGCAGAACAGGAAACTACTGTTTTTTTACCAGGTGTCACATTGGAAATATGATTTATTGATACCTTTTGACATAAAAAAAATAATTTTTTTTTATGAAGACCTAAACAAACAAACTTTAAACACTGATTTAAAATTCATTTCAATTTGAGCAGAACAAAGAATGAAATCATTTAAAAACAAGAAAATAGCCAAAAATGAATGATTATAAAAAAATGCATTAAAATCAGGTGGGAAAAAAAAAATCTGTATTTGAGTACTACACAAATGTGTGTGTGTGTTTTATATATGTATAAAAAACACATGCACATTCTTTTTGGTATGGTCTCACTACAATAGCCATTACACACGTCACCACTGTAGACTATTTCAAACTTACAGTTTTCCAAAGAATACCAGGATGTAGACAAAGGAATTCTGCCTACCACACAGACATCACATTGATTCTTGAAAATGACTGAGATAGTCAAAAGTACTTGAACAAAACAATAACACAGTATAAACTTCAAATGGCTTATCTACAATTTCAAGTACAAGTACAATACTTAACACCTTATTTTAAAATTGGAAGAATACAATAAAAAATGAAACCAATAGAACTTGTCAGTTCTTTTTAATTAAACTTGTTTCTATGGATACTTGCTGCTTAAATAAATATTTATATATATATATATATATATATATATATATATATATATATATATATATAATTTATTTAGGACATTAAAAAACAAAAAACATGTTAAAATTTGGTACACAACACTGGAGATGTATATATATATACACACATATATATATATATATATATATATATATATATATATATATATATATATATACACACACACTGATGGCAAATAAAATTGAAACATCTTTAAAATGTTTCAATTTGATTTACTCAAGATTAAACATCCATGAAATATACCTGCATTACACAGTAAATGATTGCATATACAGATCAATATGAGTACAGGCTCCAAACTATGTGCAGTGTCAATACCAATTTCCCTCCATATTAATACATAGTAATACCATCCTGCAATGCAATATTCTTCAGCTTATGCAGCTGTTGAAAAAATACACCAACAGCTGCAGGCCAACTAAATGTGTCAGACATATTTAATAGGAGAGAGCTCTGATGATCATACCGATCAGGAAAGTTGTTGAATATCTTGTAGAGTATATTGAATAGCACAGTAATCATATGTTTGAGCATTATCCTGCTAAAACAACACATTGTCTTTCTGTTCCTGGAATGGCAGCAGATTGGATTAAACAAGATTCTGGAGGAACATAGTACTGCTCAAGGTTTTCTTTACAAACAAAAAAGGTAAGCACGAATTGTAATTCATGAGGCCTTAAGCCATGATACAATCGGTTGGGCCTGTGTGCTGTGGGTTATTACACAATGAAATATGTTACTCTCCAGATCTCATTGCACACACACACAAACCTCCATCACTTGTAGGTGATACCAACAGAGACATGTGACTGTAGTCCTGCTACACAAAGAATTCTGAATGCTTCAACCCTGGGTCACATTTGCTTTGCACAGCTGCGCTGTGGATAACATACTAACTCTGCTATTTCTATGAGAGTGGGAATATTTCATCTGACCACTGCTGTCATCATGACAGCACCACTGATTTGTCATCCATGTGCATCAATTTTCCATCCTGTCTATTAAGGGCCCACAGCTCCCCACTGTCAAATGGTTCTAGGTGAACAAGAAGAGTTTATATGCATCTTTGTGGCATGACATCTGCTTTTACTAAAGAAGCTTATCACACAGTGCAAGGTCAAGTGTTACTACATCACAAGAGGAGTGAAGATTTTGAAAATTTTATTGGAATATCTACTACACACAAACATACACACAGTCAAAATTGACATTGTTTTCTTTTTTTCTGGGATTGAAATTTTATTTTCTGCTAATGTATATAAGTATTAGACCTATTTTATAGTTGTTGGTCAGAAAAGCATTTTAGTCATATGAGGAATGCATTTAAGAAAGATGTGCCTGTTGTGTAGCTTCTTGCATAAAGAACGTGCAGGTTGCCTGTCACCAAACTTATAAATTTCCTCACTGATGTGCATGGCTTTTGTTTGTATTTGGCATTGACAACCTTGTTTATTTGTCTGCATTTTTGTTCGCCATTTGATATCCAGATAAAACCACTATCAGTTTTGTTAAGTTGGAGGAGAGCAATGTTGATGATAATTATTGACCTACTGGTTGTGGTACTGTGAACGTCAATCATGTGAAAAGCTGTGTGTGTGTGTGTGTTTCAATGCCAAAGGTTTGACAGCCAGATTTCATAACCCTTTCAACAATCTGTGCATTCTACTTTCAAGGCCAAACACAAGACAATAAGGGTGATTTTTATGGAAGAATCCATTTACTTGAAGTGTCACCTGGCTGGACAATGTTACCATATTTGGAGTGCAGCAGAAATCATGGGCAACATTAATTTTGATAATATCATCTGGCAACAAGCCTCATTTCCTGTTCAAGATGGCAGACTTGGCCTTCAGTCTCTAACCAATAGAACTGACATCGTTGGACTCATGCTGTCTACTCACCTGCCAGGTTTTCTACATTATCAAAAATACAATGTAGGACAAATATACTAGAGAATTTGGAGTCAGACTGGTAACTAAATATACTAGAGTTTTGGGGTCAGACTGGTAACAAACTTTCAAGTACCATAGTTAAGCAGCAACACCGAGACAACATTAAATGGAAAGCTGTATTAGCAAAAATTCAAGCCTCACTCAACCAATGTCAAATGGCTTGTCTGCACATTGCTTCCAAGCAGAGATTGCTTGAATGCTATGCTCCTACTAAGTGTGGGTACTCTCTGTGATAATAACTTTGTATACAATGGTGTTGTCTTGCATATCTGTCTGCATATGAAAGTTGTACCAATGTTGCTACAGAGCTACTATCAACCAATGTGCCCTACATCTCTCTCATGTCAGCTTTAGAATAGGTTATCTCCCTTAGCAAGATTCTGCCACTTACACCATAAGCAGAGTTTTTAATGTGAATGGTATTCTCTTTCAACTGGAGCTGGCTGGTTTGGACTGGAAAATGGTAAATGTCATGATGGAATAACGGTCTACGGTCAAGTTATTTAACTGGGATGTTACCTGTAGCAACCGTATTACGAATCTGATTGCATTGGCCATTTTGTCCAGTTTTGTCATCCGTCAGAGGCTGAAGAGCATTAAAAACTGGTTAAATGTTCAACCATAAGAAATAACATAGACAAGGAATGAATATTTGTGTGATTATTTTGACTTCTTTTTTGTCATTGCAACATCATATTTGCAATATTTGAATGTAATGAATATTTAGATAAGTTTTTATAGGACCTTTAAACATCATATAACTCTGCTTGTTACTTAGTTAGCATTTAGGCACCATAACAGCATGCCTATCCCCTGCTCATAAATTCTTGGGATTGTAGAGCCTTCTCCCTTTTTTCTTTTTTTTAAGGAAGAAAAATAGAGGAAGTGATAATGCTGGGGGGGTGTTTAATGTATGTTTCCATGAAATGATAGAATATGAAATATGCTGGCCTAAAATGGTTAAATTAAAAAATGATCAAAAATTATAGAATTTCCATGGATCCATCCTGCCCTTGATGATTAAACAAAATCAGTGTCATAGAAAGCTATTTGAAAAATGCTGAAGCATTAAAACACTATTTTTGCACTGTCAATACCTATCTTATATAAATAACCTGATGCAAATAGCTAGGTAAAGTGTTGAAACTTGACATTGGCAGTAAAAAAAAAAAAAAAAAAAAATGAATTTGTAAATGAAATTCATAGTCAAAAATGTTTCTTTAAAAAATTACTGCAAAATTTCCCCAGTTTCCCACTAATTTTCTTACATAATTTTTTTTATACCCAAACATTTGTCTCATTGCATAATAGAAAGAAAATATCAAAAATCCGGATATTACTTTAAATAAAAAAAAACAAAAACAAAAAAACATTGAATTTTGTTTAGTCATCCACATTGTTTAATCAGTAGATGTAACTTGTTTCTTTCATGTGTTGTAACATATGAAAGCATCAAAATGTTTTTTGAAAACATCATTGCAATGAAATTTCATTAAAAAACAGATGACTGAAAGTAAAATCAGAAAAGAACCTTCACTTTAAAAAAAAAAAAAAAAAAGTTCAAGACAAATATTAAAGTCTTATGAAACTATTTTATGAAAAAATAAAAGATAAAAAAAAGGATGAAAACATTTTGTTGTACACACGGATTTGTGTCGTCTCACCTAAATAATCATAAAGGAAGTAGAGTCCCAAGAGAAATGTGGACATGACACACATCATCAGGATGACAACTGGGATGGAAACAGGGAAGACAGCTTTTGCCTGGCGTTTCTCCAGGGTTGTTTCAGTTTTGGTCTCATCTTCAAGAGGTTTATGCCCACCTGTGTCATTCTCCTCCTCCCTGATAGTGAACAAAAAAAGATCAATTAATACAAATAGCATACAAAAGTACGATATGTATATATATATATATATATATACACACACACATGTATGTATGTATGTATGTTTTAAAGAAGACATTTCTCCCGCCCCACACACTTTTGGTCAGTGTTTCTCTTCCACATTCAAACCTAAAGATGCTCTTTTCTTCTTCCACACCCACAAATCTGCTTTTTCTCCTAATCTCAAGACACAACTCTTACATGTCTAAAATTTTAGTATCACAGATTTATTTTATCTCAGAATTCACTTTGCTGTCTATCAATTGTTTCTATTCAAAAACATACTAAATTTTGTGATTTCACTACAATTAGTATTTCATGAAAATTCTAAAAGAGTGAATATAAAAATGTATTTTGTAATTTTGAGCAGTCATTCTTTCAAAGAATATGGAAGTTATTTTTGTTGCTAGGATATTGTTTTGGACAATTCATTCTACAGAATGTGAGGAGTTTTTTTTTTTTTAATCATTTATAAACAAACAAGACTAGAATTTGAGAAAGTTGAAAGGAAGTATATAAATTAACCTTGTGTCAAATGTCTCAATCAAGTTTAGCAAAAATAATTTTTAAACATTGGAAAGCAACCCTATATAAAATGAAATACAAACAGAACATGTAAGGATACCAAGGTGAGCCTGTATGGTGCCTCAATAAAGTCATTGTTTACTTGGTTTAGTAAATTAAAAAGGCCTTTGATGAAATTGTGGATGCTGTCAGCTGCTCCAGAAAACATATCCAAGTGGTGGTCAATGACCATGAACAATAAAATGCCCCCCCCCAGTTCCAGCAAAAATACGCAATACAGATAGAGTTCTGTTTCCTGAACACAGACTGCCTAAGACATCATCCTAAAAGGAGGAGGAAGAGGTGGAAACTGGATTGCCACCTGAATAGCAGCCCATGTTGCAAACTCTAGGGACAGAGATCAAAGGAAGGTGCCAACAAGCAGTGGTACAATCTGATACCAAACAGTTTGAGGTGCAGTCCCAAATAAAATTGAGCGGCAGCAATCAATTGAGCTCATGGTGACCAAGAAAGGATCAACATTTGTCAAAATGAAGCAAGCCTCAATTAAAGACAATAGAACAGAAACATAGCAAGTCAACAAAAATAACGCAGATGTAGTTAAAAACACTGCTAACAAAAGAAACTAAAAGAAGAAATTAAAGCCTGAAAAAACATGTAGAAGGAAAAGGTAGCAAAGATTCAATTTGATTCAAATATATGAATCTAAAATTTAAAAGTAGTGAGGAGAAAGTTTTTTAAATAAAGAAATGACTTAGTTTTAATAAGGTCAACCCAGGTCTTAATACTCAAAATCATTGGAGTAAAACAAAAACTTTTCTTTTGAAAATATATATTACTTCATTTATAAATGTCTTTCTTCAACACTTTAAAATATGAATTTGAAGAGAAAAATAAAATTTTAAAAAGTTTATCATTTTTGATGGTAAATTAAACACTAATTCCCATCTCTCTCCAAAAATGTCTGCCAGGTCTTAGATATGAAGTTGAAGGATCTGGTAATGTTTACCCAGGGGCTAAATGTACTTGTATCTTGTCTAATCTTGATAATTCTTTAATTTTGAATGTGAATAGGAAGTGAGGTCTTAGATATAATCAAATACAAAATTTATTTTGGTGTATATCTTCATTTTTATTATTTCTGAAACTATTTTGGCTGTTATGTTCTTAGGCCTTCCTCCAGTGCATATTTGTTGGTCTTTAAAAGTGGCATAGTACCTACCCCCTGTTACCCCACATTTTCATTTCCACAATAAGCACACTCACTGCTTGATAAATTCACAGGATCAGGCATTAAAGTCTCATGATGGTCAGAAAACTTTCATATGAGACAGGAAAAACAATCCATCAAATTTTAATGAAAGAGTCAACCTTACATTGACACCTGATATTGGAAGCCTTAAATAGAGAAAAAAGATTCTCCTGAAAAGTGACTTTCATATGATGTTAAAATCTAAACTTAGTTTGGTTAAATTGTTTGTTTTTCAAACAACTAAAAAAAAGGAAAAAAAAAAGGAAAAAAGGAAAAAAAAGAAATGAAAAATGAAAAAAAAGAAAAGGAAAAAAAGAAATGAAAAAGGAAAAAAAGAAAAAAGAAATGAAAAAATGAAAAAAGAAAAAAAGAAATGAAAAAATGAAAAAAGGAAAAAAGAAATGAAAAATGGAAAAAAATGAAAAAAAGAAATGAAAAAAAGGAAAAAAGAAATGAAAAAAAGGAAAAAAGAAATGAAAAAAAGGAAAAAAATGAAAAAAAGGAAAAAAAAGAAATGAAAAAGGAAAAAAAAAGGAAATGAAAAAAGGAAAAAAAAGGAAATGAAAAAAAAAGCAATGAAAAAAAAATGAAGAAAAAAATGAAGAAAAAAATGAAAAGAATTCAAGAAAATAAAAAAGGAAAATTCAATTCAAATTCTGAATCATTTAAAACAAATAAGATGTCATAGAGAAGCCAGGAAAATGATTGGAAATATGAAAGTAAAAATTACCATTAATTTTCTGTAAAAAAAACATTTTTAGATTACAATGGATTAAAAATATAAGCACTGATTATGAAAATTAAAAAGTCATTGATATTTTTTTCACTTCAAAAGAGGAAAAGAAAAAAAAAAGGAAAATTTATTTCCATGCTTGTGTCATAAAAGTTCTTAAAATGTGAAAAGATAAAACCAAAACTTTTGCTCAACAGATTAACAAAGAAAACATTGCAATATATTAAGACATTAGTACAAATAACTAAGTTCAATAATATTAAAATAAAGAGAATTGGCAGAACATGGGATGACTGAAACAAAAACTGCTGAGAACAACAAAGATTTCTTTTTCTTTCTGTCTTTTCTTATTTTGGATTTATTAACACTTTCACTGCTGAACTGTTATAGAATTGTTGCCTGGCTGTGCTAGGTCCATACTATATGTCTACACTAGCTTGGAAATAACACTAAACACTAGTGTATTTTATAGCACAAATGTTAGGGACTGACATTTTATGGTATCTTTTATATATATATATATATATATATATATATATATATATATATATATATATATATATATAAATATATATAAAAAAATAAAAATTACCTCAACATAGGGATAGTCTATTTCAAACCATTCTTCACATGGCTTTCATCAGACTCTAAGTGCCTGTCTCAGAGCATTGTTCAAAATTTATTTTCAAAGTCAGTCTTCCTCTAGTAAACGCCTTGTTAATGAGAGTAGGTTTGTGTTAGTGATTGGTGGGGGTGTAAGGTATCTTATCCCAGGGGAAGCGGTCTGGGTTTGGAGTTTATTTATAGCCAGGATTTTTGTTTGTACAGTGGCATATATGTATCATCATGTAAATGTACACATATATGAAGATATGTATGCATATAAGTGTGTTGGACAGCATGATTTATTCCATTGGCTGCTCTGATATTACCCACAATCTATAAATCTGTAAGTCAACTAATTTATGTTAATCTTCCCAGACTTAAATTTAAATCCCCCATCACTTAGTAGTACAAAAACTATTTACTGTGAATCCCAGAGAAACACACCCCGGGGCCTTTATAAAAAACACCACATAGTAGAAACTGATATTAAACTACAAACAAAAATCCTGGCCATAAATAAACTCCAAACCCAGACCGCTACTCCCGGGATAAGATACCTTACACTCCTACCAATTACTAACATAAACTTACTCTCCTTAACAAGGCACCTACTTGAGGAAGACTGACTTTGAAAATAAATTTAAAACAATGCTCTGAGACAAGCACTTAGAGGCTGACGAAACCCATGTAAAGAATGATTTGAAATAGACTATCCCTATATTATTGAGGTAATTTTTAGTTTCTTGCTGTAAAAAATACATATACTCTGTTAAAATAAAAACATCAAGCTCTCTGTAGATCAGTTTTAATAATTAATATTATTAGGATCCACCTGGATTATATACCAATGGATTGATTACTTGTATATATATATATATATATATATATATATATATTTGACAGAAGCAATAGAAGTTTCATAAAGACAAAAATCTATGTCCACAGCACTGGATTGATTGATTGATTTTGTTTTTTGTTTTTTTTTACCACTTATCAACCTTTTGCAGGTTATTTAAAGCCAAAAAATAGTTTTGGATCGCAAGAATTTTGAGGGAGATAATGATTTACTGATACAAGTTCAACTATTTAACATATAGCTGGGGGGAAAAGAGGTGGATTTACACCTTTTCCAAGGGTGTGTGCATGTAAGTGTATTTAACAACGCCTGCTACACCAGCCACACATCCAGGCTTAGAGCACCTGGTATTCCAAAGCAGTCACCCATCTAGGTACTGAACAGGTTCAATGTTGCTTAACTTTGGCACAGCATTAGAAGTACTAATTGCAGTTTTTTAAAAGAAAAAAAGCTTATAAAATAATGCATTCTTTAAGTTTAATAAATCAGATATTAATTAATTTTATTCAGAAATACAAAAGACAAAGAAAAATTTAGAAAGATACCATATTTTCCCCAGAATTAAAATGCACTTTTCAAAGAGTTCTTCAGATAATGGTAAATCATATTTTCATAGATTTTTTGGGGGGATGGGGGTGGAGGGGGCAATTAAATCTGGTAGGAAAACAGAATGAAAACAGAAGAATTTGGTTCTCTTCATGCAAAGTGGAAAAAAGAACGAATAAGCATTCAGAAGTGACAAAAAAGTAGATAGCATTCAGGTGTTTATAGAATATATCCTCATTTTTATGTCTACCTTCTCAGTAGAAAGTTTCAAGCTGAAGGATTGTCCTCAGGTGAGGAAAATTAACTTCCTGTAAGAAGTGATAAAACTAAAAAATGAGGATATTTTATTTTTATGCTTGGAAGTGAATCACAAATCTATTCAGGAGTGAATGGAATTTAAATCAACCAAAAGAAAAATAGCAATAGAAATAAAAAAGAAGGCAGGGTAGGTAGATGGAGTGTACAACAACAGCAAAGTCAAGAAACCAGACTAAATTTGTTGAGAATTTCTAGGAGAGAAAAGATATTTTAGTCAGGTTTCTTGACAACAAGGATTTTTTTTTTTTTAATCACATCTTTCAAGTGCAGACCCCTACCGTTGAGATTCTGACTTCAAACTTTTGTCGATTTTTTTCAAGTTTGTTCTGCAAATAAAAGAGGACGACTCAGAATGCAAATGTTTTTTGTTTTTGCAAATAAGAACTGAAGAAAAGTATTTAAAAAAAATGGTTGAGAATTTCATTTTATACTGAAATCAGGCAGCTCAGTCTTTTGGGAAATATTTCCTAATTAGAGAAATCATATGAGAATAGATTTTGGTGACAAAATCTGGGAAAATAAGAGGTTTTCAAGGAGATAAGACAAGGAAGAGAGTGATCAGGGACGGCGCGGAGAGGGAAGAGAGCAAACGGAGAGGGAGAGAGCGATCAGAGAGAGAGTGAAGAGGGAGAGCGCGAAAAGAGGTCAGGGAGGGAGCAGAGAGGGAAAGACAGTGGTCAGGGAGGGAGCAGAGAGGGAAAGACAGTGGTCAGGGAGGGAGAAGGGGGGAGAAGACAGCGGTCAGGGAGGGAGCAGAGGCGGGGAAGACAGCGGTCAGGGAGGGAGCAGAGGCGGGGAAGACAGCGGTCAGGGAGGGAGCAGAGGCGGGGAAGACAGCGGTCAGGGAGGGAGCAGAGGCGGGGAAGACAGCGGTCAGGGGGAGCAGAGGCGGGGAAGACAGCGGTCAGGGGAGGGAGCAGAGGGGAAGACAGCGGTCAGGGAGGGAGCAGAGGCAGGGAAGACAGCGGTCAGGGGAGGGAGCAGAGGCAGGGAAGACAGCGGTCAGGGAGGGAGCAGAGGCGGGGAAGACAGCGGTCAGGGAGGGAGCAGAGAGAGCAGTCAGTGAGGGAATAGAGACAGTAAGTGGAGAACAAAGAGAAAAGTTGGAGAGAGTAGAGTGCATAGTTCTCTTTAGATCTGAGCTCGTTTCAATTATTATTATTCTTAATACTTACAGCAAAACTTTGGTAATTTTTCTTGTAACAAAATAACAAATCCTGAAACCTTTTGCTGCTCTTTACATTATAAATGTCTATGAAAATATTTGTGCTTTTTTTTCATTCTCAAATTTATAAAATGCTTTGCTTACATTTTTATAATAAGGGTCAAATAAAACAATTTGCTGTTTTTACATTATCTTAGTTTGATTGTTTTCTTCTCATCATACCTTTCTTTAATGATATTCTTATGGTAATTTTACTCATGCAAGAATGGACTTTTCCAGCTATAAATAGGAGCAGGTACTGCATTTTAAAGAGGTAGTTTCCAGCAGTCAGCTCTTACAGTCAGACTGAACATTCTTGCTCATTTATATATGCTTGTATTAACTGTTTCTGTTAATATATTTGTTTAACTTAATTCCTCCCTTTGTGTCTCTATTTCTGGCCCCTAACAAGGCCACATCAGATATCTAGATGTATGCATATAGATGTTTACATCTACACATCATTTTAAAATTACACATTTCCTCTTTTGGCTGCAGTTTGAACTTGTTGACTACTTTTACTTGTTGTTTTTTTTTTATATAGTGCTCTGTAACAAAGATAAATAAAGTTAATTTTCATTTCATTGTGCATGAGTTCAAAATTAAGTCATTGTCATGCTCGGCACTGTTTGGGTTTGGAATAAAATTTCAGAACAGACTGCTGGTTCCCCAAAACAACTTCTAGTGCTCTGAATCTCCAAGAGTAACTTAATTGTTGTTACATGTCTGTACTTCATAATGAAGAACTGAGTCTCACCTAAAAGACCACCCCTGACTGTACTCTTAGACTATCATGGTTTAGTTGTCCTATTTGTCATGATTTGGAACTTAGGCATCAAAGGTTGCAATTACTTTGGCCAGCAATGGGGGAGGGGAAGTGGGTGGCTATCCTTCAGCAGGATAATGCAAAACCTCATATTTAATTCCCTTCTTCAAGGGCATTAGTGAGAAGTGAACACATATCACCTCAACCAGAATTTTATGCAGTTTGATACTATTTTATTAAAAGGGAGTCAATCTTTGCTGTAACTTAATTCAGAGCCGAGAAAAGTTTTAAATAGAAACACACATCTCTATTATGTATCTAAAATATAGTAAAAATATATTGTACGATACACTCATTCACATTCTCTTAGTATTGTGAAGAATTTTACCCAGTAGCTTTCTACTGATAAATGCCCGATTGATGATAGTTCTATAATTGTATCTGAGCAAACAACTACTTGATTTACGATACAAAAATTACTGCATTTAGAAATACATACAAGGTTCCCAAGGCTTCACTGTTAGTTGTGCACAGATTTTCATGTCATCATATAAACTTGCCACAAATCTATTGGATACTAGAATATTATAAACTGAAAACTATTGAGAGACATAGAGAAAAAACTACCATCCAATTTTCTTAATGAAATCTATTGTTGGCAACAAGTTATAAAAATGGTAAAATTGATAATGACTTACTCTTGAAAGAAAGAAAATCCTGACCAGTAAGAGCCGATAACGATGCTCGACATCGCCAAAAGGAGGATAACAAATTCAGTAGCATATAATAAGGATGGTTGAGGGGAGAATAGTTTTACCATTATATTCTCACCAAGTTGCTGGAAAAAAGAAAAACATCATAATAACATTAAATTAAATATTATTTTGTAATATTTGAATGTAATTCTCAAATTCCTAAAAAACAGTTTTTCTTTTGCTGGTAATTCTTTAAAGTTCAAATAAAAATAATGAAATGTGTCAGGATTTGGTCTGCAAGGTTAAAACTGATTTTAGCTTTTCCCCAAGAACACTTGTTATTTCAAGTTAACTCACTTCAAAACCACAGGAGCGAGCTTGTCAATAGACAATGACATGAATCCTTAAAATCCATTTACTCAAGTTAAAAGGTTATGTTAACACATGGGCAATGATAACAGTTTTTCCTTTCTGTTTCTTTTAATGCACAAAGAAACAAAAAAAAAATAAATAAATAAACACATGAAAGGTAATAAAGAGAGAATGATTACAGTATCCTCAATCATAAAACATACCTACCTTTCTACTTAATGTGTTCACCCAAAAGAAAGATATCAAAGCTTCACCAACTTTAAAAGATCCAAGGTCTAAAGCATAACAGGATGGTAACCCTGGTTCAATGTTTTATTGCACGAGAATGCCGATTGATGATTTGAAGTGAGAATAAACAGTGAGAAGCTAATTAAGTGCTGAGGAGAATAAGGAAAGGAAGAACAGATTAAAATTAATTAGAAGCCATAAATTGAATTTGGAGAATGCTCCAGGATTTGAACCTGAAATAAATGAGAAAAAAATAAAAAAGAATTCAGTAAGACTGGATCATTCCTACCCCTCCCAGTTGCCTCTGTGACAATATAACAAAGAATTATGATCAATCTTGTTGATTGGTAGGTTGGCTCTATGGAACAGGGCTGTGGTGACAACTGCAAGGGAATGCCTTGTAAATGTTGGTTATGCCAAGGTGATGGAAACGGGTTGCTGATGTGTTGTCGGAATGGCATGGCTGGTAGGCCTGTTCTGTGGAACAAGGACTGCAGTGGTAACTGCAAAGGGAATGCCTTGTAAATGAGTTGGGTATGCCAAGGAGATGGTGGTGGGTTGCTGAGTGGTGGCCTGAAGTGGTTAGCGAAGATACAATCTGGATATGATGATACAAGGGTGCGAGTGTGAGTAGTCAGGACTTTGCCGATGCTGAGGATACGTGTGTAATGAGTCAGGAGAAGTAACAAATCTGATAGTGATGAGGTAGTGTTTGGTCAATTTCATGGGTGGTATTTGCTGAGGTGACGAGGTTGAGATGTTGTCCTGTTGAAGCTGGATAGCTGAGGTGGTTAGTCAAGTCTGGGAGTGGTAACAGTCATTGGGTTGAGCGGTCATGTTGGGAGGTGGCAGTGGTGATGATGGCATGGCAACAGCAAGAATAACAGCCAGTAGCCTTCCAGCCCACAATTGTCTTGGTTGCTATCGGATGTGATATGTGAAGCCTATATGCAGAGAATGACTTTTTATTTCACTACCTGCCTTCATGGTGTTCACACCTGGCCACCATGATGGATGATCTAATTGCAATGGAGTATAAGACTTATATCTCTTACAAATTACTGCTACAAAAACTTTACTGCCAAAATGTCATCGACATTTTGTGCATAGATCACATTTATGGAGTTGCAGTTTAAATTTTTATTTATTGGGAATGTAGTTGTGGGGTTTTCAAAAGTGTAGGAATTCCCTTCATTAATGACATCACAAACCACACATCTTTTTTTTTGTTGCATTTTGTAACACCCTGTATATTGTGTTAATTAAATTTGGATGAGGTTAATATATGTCTTAGGTTTTTAGATTGCTTTTAATTATCTTGGTTGTTTTTAGTATATTTTTCATTTTATCATTCTTGTTAAGTAAGTTTAGTTTTTTTTTGTAATTTCTACAAATAATTCTGAATTGTTCTATTTGTATGTTGAGACATATGATTGGGTTTGTTTGACATTACATATTTGGGATTTCATAGTTGGTCTAGGTTTTTTTTTGCTAGTTGAAAACCTTGTATGTATGTGTATATACATATCCATATATGTGTATGCTAATTCCTTATTATAAGACAGTATGTATCTATGGGGAGGGAATTTACATATGCAGGCTAACAGGGATAGAAAGACATCTCTCATCAATGCATCTATTATCACCACTCATACCAAACCTAATGGTTTTATTAACTCTTAGGCAGAAATTCACTTTTGCCAACAGTCCAGAAAAGAATTCAAGGCTCACTAACAAATACAGAAAACAAATAATGAGACATTAAAAGAACATAAGGAAAATTTATTCCTTTTATTTCCCTGAAGAAGGCCATGAAACTGAAAACATGTGTAGCAGAAATATGAAGAATAAAATATATATACTAAAACAAATCCACATCCTATGTGTTGTAATCTAAGGAAGGTTACTGAATAGAATAATCAAATGAAGGTTGGTAATGAACAATAACACTTAGGACACAATCAACACACAAGATTCACCAGCAGTGCATAGAAGTAGTCAACTGCTAGAAGTGAGTCAAGTGAATTCCACAATGAATCTCCAACTGCAGACCAACATACAGTATTTACTACTGTATTTATTTGAATGGGGACATACTTATTATTGTCTGTGGAATACTACAATACTACCCAAAGAGGATATAAAAACACTCCCTAAAAGATACATGATAACAATGAAAGGCAGTTAACATCCATATCTTTCATCCACAAGAACATAGAGAATCATCGATTCTTTTCTCGGTGGCTTGAATCTTGTTTTTGTCTTAACATTGCAAAAAGTGACAAGTTTCATACTTTAATCAAAATAAAAAAAAAAATATTCTAAGTCATGTGAACCTCTCTTGATGAAACAAGAAATCTTTAGAACAAAAAAATATGTTCACTTGACATTAAATCTTTAACAAATAAATATTTTCAGCAACAACATTTCATCAAATGTCAGTCATTATTATTCCATTGCAATGACATCATTTACAATATAAGGATGAACGTGCTTTAGAAATTGATCTCCCCATTGCCTAAGAAATAGACTAAAGTAACTTTTATTAATTAAGTCATTATCTTATTTTATTTTTTTAATCATTTCCTCCCAAGCAAAGTGATAATGCCACTAAAACTCAAGAAGTTACTGGGAGTGAAAGAGAATAAGTAGACTTTAGTGAGAAGAAAGGACAATAAAAGAACAGATTTCAGGAAAAGAGAAGATAGTGATTGATGTCGTATTTAAATTTTTGAAGATTGTAGGTGGCAAGGAAACAAGAATCCAGAAGTGAGTTTCACAGGCAAGAAAAAAAGAAAACTATTACAATTGAACATATGATTAAATCTAGTGATTTCAACATTAAAATGGTGAGACCTACTTGCCAATCTAGTAGTATGCTTAAATTCATGCAATCAGAGCACAAAGGAGAAAAACTTATCAGATCAATTTCCATGAAAATATTTGTAAAAAACACATAGGGAAGACATGACAAGGTGGTGAGAAAGTGACTGAAGTCGAGATGTCAGGTCAAGAGGAATTACATTATGATCAGAGTATTGCACATACTATTTTTAAATTGTCTGATCAGAAATCCAAGCATATTAACATAATGTGCTTGCTTTATGCCTCTTGATTCCTTAGGGAACATAGGACCACAACAACACCTCTCCAACGGATGCAGTTCCGGGCAATCCTCTTCAGCTCAGCCCATGTCGTGCCGGCTGCCTTCACCTTTGCATCAACACTTCTGCACCAAATCTGTTGACCTCCTTTTTGCTTCCCTTGTAGATTCCAGTCAAAGTCCTGCCTGGTGACACTAGAAGCAGGCTTGCAGAGTGTGTGGCCAATCCATCCCCATTTCTTGATGTCAATCTCGATTGAGGCTTGTCTGGTCCTGTCCCACAGTTGGTCGTTGGAGAATCTACCTCTGGATCTGATTGGGTAAAAGGAAGAATATTCATGTAGAGATCTTAGAAACATCACATCGGTCTTTAATATGTCAGTGGAAACTTACCTTAATTGAAAGAAAATCCATTTCTCGAATCAATGCTACAGTGATATTGATATTGTGGTAATCAGATTCATTTCCACCTGGAATAATCTGAAAAAAAAACAAAAAAAAAACAACAAAATATTAGGTTTTCACATGCAAGTCTTAATATATTTGTCCAATTATTGTCATATATGGCTCTATCATAGATATGATCTTGTCACCATTCAGATTGACTTGGTAAATATCTAAGAATTGTCTATCATTGTCATAGCAAAACATACTGCCACTTAACAGCCCTAGTGTAAGAGAGATAACAAGTATAGCACATCACTGCAACAATATACATACACATATATATATATATATATCTATATATGGAGAAAATACTACATTTGTTTTCTTCTGTTTACATCTTACACAATCAGAGACTAGCCGACAACGGGTCATACATGAAAATCACATAGTGATAGTGAAAAGTGTTTATAGTTATGTTTTTAGTGCAATAAAAAATATATATATATATATATATATATATATATATATATATATATATATATATATAGAGAGAGAGAGAGAGAGAGAGAGAGTATATTTAGAAGGTTATTAGTTCTGATTTGATTAGTCAAAATGTACTGTAAACCCAATTTTCATTGGCTAAAAACCAAAAGAATAAAACCAATAAAAATTCAGCCCAAAGATGAAGGATTTACTACCATGGATGGGAAGTTGGATGGGAGGTGATTGCTCCAAGCTGGGTTACAGGGATGAGAAGATGGGGGTGATGTTTTTATAGACCGGAAACCCCCAATGACACCTGGAATAAACATCACTGAGGAAGCTTCCCTACCCACCACATGATTGAGGATGATGATTATTTAAACCGATTGTTTTCATAGGGCTGCTGTGCAATTGAGCTCTTGACCAGCTCCTTCCACGCATCAGTTGAAGGTTGGATAGGTATTCATTCATGTATAGAGTGTCTTGAGCATGTAGACCTGGTGGAGCCCATCCCTCACCAGAGCAGACCACAGCAATGTCCTCTGATTTGAAGTTTCACCTTGATCAGGGGCATGTGTCCTTTGATTCCAGTCTAGGAAACCTTCCAACCAGCAGTGCCGTTTTATTAACACTTGGCATTTAGAGCTGGGATTAAATATTCATAAATGGAAACCAATAAATCTGAATGATTTGCAATTATTCTGCATAGAAGAAAGGCATGAAACCACTTTTTGGTTCAGGGAGGTGTAGGGGATTGGTAAATAGGATTGTACCTATTTAAGTTGAGGGAACCCAAAAATCTCATCAGAGGTTACAGAAAATGTCTATTAGCTGTGGCAAATATGACTTAACTCAGTGTGAGTTGGGAGAGTCAGAAATTGATGTAAAAGACATTCCAATAAAGTACAGATAATTAATGGAATTAAAATATTAATTTCCACATTTATTATTAAAGTCAGACTTCTTTAATCCAGCACCCTTCAGAGCAGGCAACAGAAATCCCCGCCACCTAAAATAAAAATGTAAAATAAAGTTTTGCCAGCTCATTTCCCATAAATATTGCTGTGTTATCAAAGGTGGGACAAAGCTTAAAACAGGAAATAAAACAATCATTAATGCTTCCAAATAAGCTTTTTATTATTTCATGCATTACAAAGGATAAAAAAAAGCCTAAAACAAAAAAATATATATATATTTACTCTCCTGAATGGGTAAATATACAGCTATATAGTATATAATAAATAAGCAATATTGTATCACCAAAACACTCTGTTGCTGTTGTTGGCTGTTAAGTTGTAAACATGTGGCAGAGCTCTTGCAACTGTGCATTAAAAGAAGTGCCAGAACATGAGACTTTCTGAACCACAGATTTTACCAGATTAAAGAGGCCAGACTAAGTCATGCATTGTCTTTTTGTTTTGTGACTTCAGCTTTCAGTTCTTCATCTATTTTCAACAACCAGATTTTTAGAGATTTTAGAATATCAAGAATATTCTAATAAACTTGTTAATTGAAATTTTTCTTAAACACATAAATCAAATTTATTACTCTTAAAAGGGATTTATAAAAATCAATTTAATTTTTGTAAAGATAAAATCAAATTTTATGTTCCCTTTCACATTCTACTCCTTCCCAAATTATTTAACAACATCTTGAATTTGATATAGAAAATCTATGTACATACAAATATTTTTGTAGTAATCAAAAACTAGAAAAAGTCACAAAACAAATGATTGCTCTGTCATATTTTAAAGAAATTAAAAAAAATATATCTCCATTTCTCATTTATTAATATGAAGTTTCTTTTGGTTGGATTATGGAACATGCTCACCTAACCCCTACAATTGGACTTTTCCAGTTGAGTTGGTTTCCATAAATGAACTGAATTTCCTGTCTGTGGAGTTTCTGATATTGTCAGAAGAATATAAGTGTTATTTGAACATTGGTAGCTTTAAAAATGCAGATAATTTTCAGAAAGAAGGTCAGTGTAGATTAAAGGTCAACAGAAAATAGTATCCAGGGGTCAAGATCAACTTCCAGCCAAAACAGTTTTGTTGTTCTCTTCATGCTAATGATTTTTAGAAACATATGAATCTATCTTCACCCACTAATCCAGATACAGATTAAATAACTGGGTAGATTGATCTGTTTAACCTTGGCTGACAACCAGTCAAGGAGAAAGACAACTTTGAAGTCAAAACCATATAAATGGCAAATCCCTCTACTAACTTAAAAAGGCAGTGGCTGTGCAGTCTTGTGATTCTTTATGTCCTGAAGGAACAATGCCTTTAAACAAATGGGTGACTTTTTTCATACATAGAAAAGTGAATGAAAAAGTGATACTGGCAAATAATCCCAATCAGATGAGACACTCAAAAAATATCCACCCTGTTACCTTATAAGACAAGTGAGAACATTTTGCCAACACATGATATAATGTCTATTAAACAATCAAAGTGCAACACTTTAAAAATGTTGGTGACAAACATGATTATAAACTTCTTTCAGAGAACATTACAGGAAAGATTTTATCATGCCTTTGGTTATTCTTAAAACAACCTCTTTCCTCCTCTTCCCCCTTGAGATTTATGTCTTGTTCTTTTAATGGAATCTTGGTCTCATTTCATCTTCAGTCTCTGAGAACATTACAGGAAAGATTTCTCTTGTATCAGGTTGTTCTATGACACATGATCATAGTCAACTTCTTGCTTGTCCCTTAGTTTACTATACACCCTTCTACTTAACATACAAATAGGTAAATCCTATTTACCAGTCCCTACACCTCCCTGAAACAAAAAAAATGGTTTCATGCCTTTGGTTATTCTTAAACTTCTTCTACAACCTCTTTCCTCCTCTTCCCCCTTGAGATTTATGTCTTGTTCTTTTTAATGGAGATCTTGGTCTCATTTCATCTTCAGTCTCTGAGAACATTATAGGAAAGATTTCTCTTGTATCAGGTTGTTATACGACACGTGATCAGTAGTCAACTTCTTGCTTTATACACTTTATATGCCTTCTAAACATATGCAAATAGGTACAATCCTATTACAGTTACACCTCCTGAAAAAAAAAATGGTTTCATGCCTTTGGTTATTCTTAAATACAACCTCTTTCCTCCTCTTCCCCCTTGAGATTTATGTCTTGTTCTTTTTAATGGAGATCTTGGTCTCATTTCATCTTCAGTCTCTGAGAACATTTCTTCAGGTTGTCTCAGTAGTCAACTTCCCTTGTCCCTTAGTTTACAACACTTTTATATGCCTTCTTTTAACATATGCAAATAGGTACAATCCTATTTCCAGTCCACTACACCTCCCTGAAAACAAAAAAAATGGTTTCCATGCCTTTGGTTATTCTTAAACTTCTTCTACAACTCTTTCCTCCTCTTCCCCTTGAGATTTATGTCTTGTTCTTTTTAATGGAGATCTTGGTCTCATTTCATTCAGTCTCTGAGAACATTTTCTTGTATCAGGTTGTTATCGACACGCGATCAGTAGTCAATTTCTTGCTTGTCCCTGAGTTTACTATACACTTTATATGCCTTCTACTTAACATATGATACAATCCTATTTACCAGTCCACTACACCTCCCTGAAACAAAAAAATGGTTTCATGCCTTTGGTTATTCTTAAACTTCTTCTACAACCTCTTTCCTCCTCTTGAGATTTATGTCTTGTTCTTTTTTAATGGAATCTTGGTCTCATTTCATCTTCAGTCTCTGAGAACATTTAGGAAAGATTTTCTTGTATCAGGTTGTTGACACGTGATCAGTGATCAACTTCTTGCTTGAAGAGTTTACTTATTATATGCCTTCTCTTAACATATGTAGGTACAATCTGTTACCAGTCCACTACACCTCCCTGAAACAAAAAATGGTTTCATGCCTTTGGTTATAAACTCTTCTACAACCTCTTTTCCTCCTCTTTTTGAGATTTATGTCTTGTTCTTTTTAATGGAGATCTTGGTCTCATTTCATCTTCAGTCTCTGAGAACATTTAGGAAAAGATTTCTCTTTTTATCAGGAAGATCAGTAGTCAACTAGTTCTTGCTTGTCCCTGATTTTTACTATAAATTTTTCTCTTTTAACATTTAGGTACAATCTTCAATTTTTAAGTCCACTACACCTTTGCCTTCTAAACTTCTTCTACAACCTTTTCCTCCTCTTCCCCCTTATTTTATTTTGTTCTTTTTTAGTCTCATTTCATCTTCAGTCTTTTACATTAAGAGGAAAGATTTCTCTTGTATCTTTAAATCACATGATCAGTAGTCTTTATCCCTGAGTTTACTATACACTTTATATGCCTTCTACTTCATATGCAAATAGGTACAATCCTATTTTGAAATACCTCCCTGAAACAAAAAATGGTTTCCTTTGGTTATTCTTAAACTTCTTCTACAACCTCTTTCCTCCTCTTCCCCCTTGAGATTTATGTCTTGTTCTTTTTTTGATCTTGGTCTCATTTCATCTTCAGTCTCTTAGGTTGTTATACGACACGTGATCAGTAGTCAACTTCTTTTTTGTCCTTTATTTTTTCTCAAAATTTTTGAATTCACCTCCCTGAAACAAAAAAATGGTTTCATGCCTTTGGTTATTCTTTTACAACCTCTTTCCT